CTCCCGGCGGGGCCGGACCGCCTGGCGCATTATCTCCCGATTTCAGTGACTCCAGAGCCTCCCCCCCCGCATTTACCACTTGTGAGTCTGAAAAGCTGGCTCATAAGAGAGACATCTACAGAAACACCTTTTATTAGAAAAAACGGGTGAGAGAAGGGGCGACAAAACTGCCAGGAAAACGGCTTCAAAAAGTATGCCTTTTAAACAGAGAAAAGTTACACAAAAATTTCATCACTAACCACACAGTAACATCTACGTGAATGGGTCTCCGTTCATAGTGCATAAGCAAGAAGCACATCCTTCCTCACTAGGCCATTTCTACCTGAATTCGTGCAGAGAGAAGGGCACCTCCATTATAAAACTGGCGGAGAGCCAGGTTTGTAACTAGTTACTAAATAAGCTTCCACCAAAACAGTGATACAGAGTGTGCACATGTCGCTTGCAGGGATCCACGATCAAGTAGGCAAAAGTCTGTTCATGGATTTTGCTTGAAGGGTAACATAGACCACTATCATCCTGAGAAGAAGTTAAAAAAAACACGTTAGCAACATGGATACTCATGAATTATACATGAATTCATAAAATCTGAATGAAATGTATAATTTTGTTCCAATTGTAACAATTTATTTCATGGAAAAATAGAATAGACACACCATAGTTTATTTAAGGAGCGTTATATCTCCATGAGGATCCTGACACAGCAAAATACACCGTAGTTCTCCCTAAATAGTTTCAATAACCCTGAGGTAAATGTAATATTAATATAAAATGTAAACCCAAAGATGTAAACGTGCATTTACACAATTAGATCCTATACTGATGATTAAATATACAACGGTCCAATCGTGTTTTCTTTGAAACAGAAGAAAATTTCGGGACTCTATAAATATGTAAAGCTGTTCTATCAGTAATTCTTTTTCCCTTAACATGTACTAATGCATCTGTTCAGTTTCAAATATTTGCATCCTCATTACAGCTTTTATTAACAACTTTGAACTGTTATTGAAAACATTTTGCGTGCCAATCTTCAGAAAGTGTTTGAAGGGAATCCAGATACCTCATTCCAAATCCTCATCCTGAAAAAACACATTCAGCTGATGACCAGCACAAGAACTGGGCTCTTCAATTTAACATCCTACGTCTACACACGTCAATAAAAGCTTCAGCATTGACGGGGCAGCACAGCTTGACACAGGCTTCAAATCCAGCAGGGAACTAGAAACTGGATGGGGGCCTTCTGGAGGTTGATTTTTTTTTTATTACTCATTTGATCTGCTAATAGAACATCTAAAAGATCACCAAATATGTAGCTGACACCTCCTTTATTTAAAAACACGTAACAGCTTCTTCCTACTCCCCAACACCTTTATACAACAGTTGAAGGTAGGTTCTGTTCCACTGTTTTGCCTGAGGGAAGTTGCTATACTTCATATATTGTCCATTTTGTCCAGGAAAATTTTAAAGTTTCGGATTACAGACTATGCCAGATTAGAGGCACACCTATCACATTCTTTTTTAAAGCTGTCCTCCTTTGCATAAAATAATCCATCTTTTGGACCAAGGAAACATGAAAACTGTAACCTCTCTCAATGGTTAAGGCAGTCAGAAGGAAAAGGTCTGGGTTCCAATTCCTGTTCCATTTGGACAACTTGTGAATTTTAGGCAGTAGCTGTTACTAGCACCCCATTTTCTCTCCTGTTATTTCAAAGAGGATGAACCCCCTACTATATGATTTGGTTTGGAGGATTATTCAAGACCATACATCTTAAACTAAGATAAGCACCACTATAAAAACATTGTTTAAGACAGGTAAAGATTTGATAGTGTTTATTCACAGCATTTTCTGATGGCAGTTAAATGTCACAAGCTAAAAATAGCATTCTATTTTTAAGCACCACAGCATGCAAGCTCTGTAGCTCCAATCTTAAGATGCCTAGCTCTCTTCAGGTGCTCTTAAGGGATACAAGAGTATCAAAGAGTATCAAACACTGGATTCTCAATTTCCATGAGGAGAGCAAGCTTTAAGGTTTTACAGTCCTCAGCATTACAATGTCTTTGGAGTTTGATCAAAAAAAACCCCCTAAGCTCATGTATGAAACGAAACAAAACAAAAACACAAGGGAAGACCAGCATCACAATGTGATTGCTTGTTAAACGTTTTTCCCATTGCTGCTGAAGTTCCCACTCCTGCAGTCCTTATGGAATTGACCGATGTCAGCTGAGATTTTGACTGTTTAAAGGCAGTGTTAGCACAATAAAAATTTGTTCAATAACTCAAGAACAAAAATTATTTAAGTTCTCTTGATGAGGCATTTCAAGAAACTCCAGAATATACCAAACATGGTATCAGGAAAATAATAAATACAATCTAATTAAATGAAAAGGGTTCTTAAATTTATTTTAATTAGTAAAAGGGGTCATAAAACAGGTCATAAAACCCCTAAAATGCTTGAGCATAAAGGCTCTGGAATTTACACAGACTTTGGTTTTTAGAGCAATAGAGTGCATGTACATGAATTAAGATTCATACCAATTCCATCTGCAGTGTGGACTTCAGACATGCAGGGGGTGTAATGACTGATTTACTGATGTTAGACTAGGATAACTTTATTTTCTCTTGTAGGAACACAGATAATCAGCTGATTTAACAGTACATATGCAAGCATCATATGTAGTATAATACAGAAAGATACTGCTGAACATTTCTCAAAACTGCATCATTTAATCAATATTTTTTTAAAAAATACTTTTTGAATAAACCATGCATAACCCTGATTTCTAACACTGCCATAGTTCGGATTCTGGTAAAGAAAGTTCTGAAATACCAGTTAGCATCCAAATACCTCAGCTGTAACAACGTTTCATTACATGCAAGCCCCAAAACTCTCAAGGGTATTTCAAATTCAACAGAGTACTTGATCACAAGATCCAAAATTATTTCTCTTGTGATACCCAGGTCTCTCAAGTTTTGATGCTAAACAGATCTACAGACATTTATAACTACACCTTAATACCTTGAAATATTTACATTTCTATTAGTGTGCTTTTCTAGATGTTGTTTCCAAAACAAGAGCTTCTTAGCCACAGCTTAAAATTAAAATAAGGGATGGTGTCAGGATAGTGTTACACAAAGTTCATAATTCCTGATTCCATTTGCACTTGTGCAAATATACAAGTATATTTATTTGTTTGGTTATAAATCCAGCTTGCAAAAATGTGTCTTCCTCTAGTGTCTCAGCTGCTCTTCAATTCACTTTTACCAGAACAGCTTTTTTTATTTATACCAGGCTAAGAGGGTAAGTCCATTTCTTTCAGATACAAACCAAGAACGCATGGCTTAAAAACCGTCAGCTCAACATCAAGATTACAATAACACACTCTACAGTTATTTACCAAATGAACTCAGAAACTGAATCTACTGCAAAAAAGTAATCTCGAGAGAAACTTTTTGTCACAAGCACATTTGTACTTCAGCAGGTGCCCTTCCTGTAATCTCCAAGTAGAGTTTAAAGAGTTTTGATCCTCAAAGCCATCTAAAAATCTAGACATACCCGTTTAAGCCTTTCTCTATTCTGAGAGAAAATTCTTCAGGATGTTCTTTAATGGAAACTGGAATTTCAGAATTCTCCTTCACCTCACAAATTTTCAGAATGTGCAGGAAAGCCCAATTTTCCCTCAAGGCTACATGAAGAACAGCCTGCTGTGTGTTTGCACTGGATTTTCTTTTGTCCATCCACTTTTTTTGTTTTCAAAAAGTTGCCAAAGTTTGTCTTTTTTTATTTTCATTTTTTTTAGACTGATGATATTTAATGTATGGCAAAGACAGTTAAGGGAGCTCTTAAATATCATGGATCTACCTAAGCATAGAAATCTGCAAAGTTCACATCAATACACTTGATTCAGCGACAGAGAGGAAACAGTACTAACAGAAGAACATCAAGCTATCAGGCTTTTGCTTTTTTATTTTATTTTTTATTACAGTCTGCAGCCTAGTAGAAAGGTAAGTTACGATACACCCATAAAGTGCTTATTTTCAAAAACCTTTCAAAAGCATTTTATGAATCACTCATAGTACTTAAAAGATGATGACCCACAGATGAACAACTGGGCTGTTGGCACCTTACAGGGAAGTCTGTGCAGTCTGCAATGATACCAGGTAGTTCTTTTGAAAACGGGTTCATCATCTGACATTTAATTATTACATATTCTGGTTACTCAAGAAGAATTTGGAGTCATTCATCCTACTGTAGCAACTTAAATGACAGATATGCTGAATCTAGTAAACATGCAGCCAGTTCTCAAACTTATCTTGATGGTCAATGTATGATTTTGCAAGAGAAACAGAAAGGAATGAGACTTGACAGGGAGGGAAAAAGAGGTTAGCAGCCATCTCACCACCCCAGCCTTTCTGCATAGTAAACTTCCTCCAGTCTTTACAGAAACAGATGCAATACAAGCTATTTAGAAAGCTCTGGTAAAATTTCTAAAAACAGAACTATACCAAGTCAAGAGTGGATTCTTAATCCATTCTGCTATCTCAGGTAAATCTAAACCCAGAATTACTCAGACCTAAAGTTTTATTTTTTCATAAATTAGTTTCTGAATGAGTATTATAACTTCAAGCACAATCCAGTAAAACTATTTTTAGTGAGCAACCAAATAAAACTTTAGTTGGTGGTTATTGATGAAGAGTTAGTAAAGAG